GGTTGGAAGGGACCTCAGGAGGTTGTCTAGTCCAACCCCCTGCTCAAAGCAGGGCCAATCCCCAATTTTTGCCCCAGATCCCTCAATGGCCCTGTCAAGGATTGAACTCACAAACCTAGGTTTAGCAGGCCAATGCTCAAACCACTGAGCTATCCCTCCCCCCTCAACTGGGATCCACTCTATACCCTGGTCTATACTAGGACTTTAGGTCAAATTTAGCAGCGTTAAATTGATGTAAACCTGCACCTGTCTACACGATGAAGCCCTTTATTTCGACTTAAAGGGCTCTTAAAATCGATTTCTTTACTCCACCCCTGACAAGTGGATTAGCGCTTAAATCGGCCTTGCCGGGTTGAATTTGGAGTACTGTGGACACAATTCGACGGTATTGGCCTCCGGGAGCTATCCCAGAGTGCTCCATTGTGACTGCTCTGGACAGCACTCTCAACTCAGATGCACGATTGTTTGCCGTTGCTCTGATGCAGGGAGGGGCAACTGACGACATGGCTTACAGGGTTGGCTTACAGGGAGCTAAAATCAACAAAGGGGGTGGCTTTACATCAAGGAGTATTTCAGGCTGGACTTCACGGAGGGTTCCAATAAGAAATGGTGCACCTAAGTTATTGTTCTTATTGGAACAAGGAGGTTAGTCTGGCCTCTGATTGATACATGGCTAGATTTACCTCGCTGCACCTTCTCTGTGAGTGACTGCAGTGTGACCTAGAGGAATAAGTCCCCTAGACGGGGGAGGAGGGGGGGAAGCAAATGAATACAGAACAAATCTGGTCTATTTCTTGTTTTGATCCACTCCATCTATCTTTTACATCTTTGGCTGTCAGCAGACGGTGCAGAAGGACTGCATGCCATCCACATCTCATGGCTGCTCGGCAGAAGATGGTACAATAGAACTGCTAGCCATCCTCATCTCTTGCCTGCCCGGCAGAAGATGATGCAATAGGACTGCTAGCAATCCGTATCACCTGCCTGCTCACCATAAGATGGTTCAATAGGACTGACTGCAGGACTAAAGAGAATGACTTGATCAAGTCACTCCAAATTTAGTCCCTGCGCCCATGTCTGCCCAGGCGCTCCTGATCGACCTCACACAGGCGACCAGGAGCATCTTGGATATGACGATGATGGCAACCAGTCCTATTGCACCCTCTGCTGCCACAAGGCAATGGGTTGCTGCTGCTGTGTAGCAATGCAGTACCGCGTCTGCCAGCACCCAGGAGACATACGGTGACAGTGAGCTGAGCGGGCTCCATGCTTGCCGTGGTATGGTGTCTGCACAGGTAACTCAGGAAAAAAGGTGCGAAACGATTTTCTGCCCTTGCTTTCACGGAGGGAGGGAGGGAATGGGGGCCTGACGATATGTACCCAGACCCACCCGTGACAATGTTTTAGCCCCATCAGGCATTGGGCTCTCAACCCAGAATTCCAATGGGCAGCGGAGACTGCGGGAACTGTGGGATAGCTACCCACAGTGCAACACTCCAGAAGTCGACTCTAGCCTTGGTACTGTGGAAGCGCTCTGCCGAGTTAATGCACTTAATGCACTTAGAGCATTTTCTGTGGGGACACACACACTCCAATATATAAAACCGATTTCTAAAAAAAAGACTTCTATAAATTAGACCTAATTTCATAGTGTAGACATACCCTATGAATCCTCTCCCTTGAAATTGGTTCCATCCCATATCCTCCATCACAACACATGCTAACAACCTGTCTTCCTTTATGACATCCCACCAGTCCTTCTTGGGCCAGCCTCTCTGTCTTTTCCATTCAGTTCCTGATCTCCTGGACTTTCTTACCCAGATAGATGCCAGGACTATGCTTTAGGTGACTGTGACAGGTTGGACCCCCCTTCTGGGATGCCACCCGATGCACTGGGATTTCACTGAGCCCACCTGCTCCACTAGCCTGGGCTCCCTCTCCCTGTTTTACTGAATCAGGCTCTCCAGCCTCTGGCAGCACACACACAGGTAGGGAGCACCAGCTATAGAATCAAACAGAGTCTGCAAACAATTCTCTATGGGAAGGTTCAGCTAGGAAATTGCCCAGTACTTAAGTGCAGCTTCCCTCTGGAAAATACACCCAAGATAATATTGTCTTGCGCTGTATAGAAAGATCTGCACAGCGCAAGCTCATAAAAATTCACCCTCTCCCTCAATGTGAAGAGAGATATGCTCAACTTCTCCCCTCCCCCCCACCGGTTATAAATGGCACAAACTGGGTTATATTATAAACAAGAAATAAGTTTATTAACTATAAAAGGTAAATCTTAAGTGATTATAAGGGATAGCAAACAGAACAAAGCAGATTACTAAGCAAATAAAACAAAACATGCATACTAAGCTTAAGTTCTTAAAGAGACTGGTTTCAAGTTGCAGAGTTTCTGTAGCTTAAAGTTCCAGTCATCTCTTCTTACACACTGGACCCCTATCTCAATCTGGACTCACCCCTGCCTTTCCCCTCAGGTTAGTTCCTTTGTCTCTTCATGTATTTTCAGGATGATTGCTTATTACCTGGTGAGCTTTCTCCCAAGTACACACACAGTTGTAAGTGTTACATAGTCAATATTCCTATCTTCAGATACAGAAATGATACATGCATGCAGATTGGATAATCACGTTTAGTAAATTATAACCTTTCCAATGATATCTTACAAGACCCATCTTGTATAAAAATGTATCTTAGTTAGGCCATATTCAAATCATAACAATATTTCTATGAAGAATATGGAGTGTCACGCCACAGTGACCAAACCATCTGAGCCTGCAATCCTTCATTTGTTCATTTATGGGTGTTACTTAGAGCATGGCTCTAACATACACACACATTCCTTGTATGGTCTTTCTTGCTTACACCACTCATCAATCTCAATATTCGCATTTCTGTGTAATAGATAATTTCCTAAAGCAATTATAAGCTACTTATCAACATATAAACCAAATAAATATCAGAAGTCTCTCCTGGCTACATCCCTAGCCTTTGTCGGTTGAGTTTCCTGTGGGCTTCATGGTAGAAGTTGGTCTTGAGGGAGGATTTGAAGGATGCTAAGATAGTGGTGGCCTTATGGTCTAGTTCCGAGCAGATGAGTTCATTGCTTGGTGATTGGCTGTAGATGTTTTTCAGGGAACTGTTACCAGAAGACCATCCTCAACCCTCTATATTTTGTAAAAGATTCCATTGAAGAACAATGCTTCATAGTGTTTCCAGTTTTTTTTCCCAAGGGCCACATCATGACCCTTGCTGTGCACTTATGCAGGGAAGTATCATGACATAATGAGGCCCCTTTCTTCCCTGCACTGGCTATCTATATCTCAGATAGCAACTCAGGGGTGGGGAGGACATTCGCTGTGGGCTCCCTACAATCCCTACTGTGCAGGTGAGTAAGAATGGGTGGACAGGAGTAAGGAGGACCCACCCTGCCTCTCTCTCTCTCTCCAGTGTGACAGCCATCTTATCTGAGCCATCAGGGAGAAGGAAGTAAGCTGCACCAAAAAAAAAAAAGGGGGGGGGGTTGTTTCCTCTATAGAGTAAGGAAGAAAAGGGGGTTGATTTTTTACTCTTCAATTATCAGTTAATTTATCTGTTATTAGTTACTTTCTTAATTTATAAATGCATGTAAAGCAATGAAATATTCATACTATCATTGGAGATAAAAACCTTCACTAACACATTTGGCCAGCTGCAGTATAATCCAGTAATTGTTTATTTTAGTTAGTTTTGGGGGATACAGATTTACAAAATGTCAGCGTAACAATAATAGAATAAAAGAGACAACAGGGAGTATTGATAGTTTGGTCTGGTGAAAGGTAGCGTCATTTTAATTTTCCAATGAAACAATAATAGGCAACTTGCATTCTCCTTATCCTAGGTGTTGTACAAAACACGGAGTACGAGACAAGATGCAACAAATGGCACACACTTTTCCTATCCATATGAGTACAGGACTTGATACTGTAATCATTTACTACTGCGTATAGCTCTTACTGTAGAGTCTAGGTGCACTGACTGCTCAGTAATGACTGTGTCCAGTAGTAAGTATTACTCCTTGCAGTGTTTGCAAGATCAGGCCTGAGCTATTATTTCTGTTTCAGTTTGGTAGCATGATATTCATTTTAGCATAGCAGTGTCATATTTTAAAAGCGGACAAAAATGTCTTAATCAACAATTTTTTGTTGCCATTTGTTAAAATAACAATACCTCTTAGCTAAAACATGTAGTCTCTACACCTTTTACATTGTTCATTTTATGTAACATAATAGTATCATCTGCTTGCAACCAGTAGAGGACACTGGGTAATACAACTTGCAATGATTTTCAGATTCTAACCCCTAGATGTTCAATGTTGCTTCTGAGTTCTGTTTGCTAAAGTTCACTTACCTTTGGTACTGTTTTGATACCATTTAACATTAGGATCTTAAAATTATCACTTAAGAAATATTAATATATATATACTGAAAGGAGAATAGCTTTATGATAAAAGCTATGGTCTTTCATCTTTGGGTCATCAGTGGAAATCCAAAAGGAAAGCCCTTTGTTGCTGTCCTTACAGGGCAGCATGTTTCACAAACCTCAGTTCAGCAACGAAATCTGTTGAGCGTTTGCTTTATAAAAATGTGAGACAGGCCTTCCAAAAAAACCCAGTGCTTAGTGTATCAGAATTACATGATTTCTCTGCACAAAGTGATTGAACGTTCTTTTAAACTGCAAGCTTCCTCTTTACTTGTGTGTATTGTAAAGAGCTCAGAACATCCTAAGTGCTAAATAAATCATTAATCATAATAACCAAAGCGCTAAGCCTAATTTGGGGCAAGTTCCAGTCTGTACTGAGACAAAGTTTAACGTACCACAGTTTGCTACCTGAACCAGTCTTCACAAGTGGGTAAACAAACAGCTCTTGATTTTCTTCTCTTTTAGCTGCTATTTTTGTAAGCACAATCTCCAGCCAATTGCTAAATGTAGCGAGTGCAAAAATTCTAAGTATGTTATTCTAAAAATAATTGAGTCCTGGAAGAGTCCTCTTGGAAAACTTTGCCAAATAGAATCAGCTTTAGTGCTCTGCGAAACCACATGTAAAGAAATGCATACACTAAGGGGTTAAATGTAGAATTCAGGTAACCAAACCACATCAATGCATCAATAAGAATAGGTGGTGTTGAGTAATTCATAAAGGGGTCGGTGGCAGTACAGAAGAAAAACGGAGACCAGCATATGAGAAAAACACCCATCACTATGCCTAATGTCTTTGCAGCTTTCCTTTCTCTACTTGGTGAAATGTGGTGCTTCATCTCAAATCTGATTTGTGTTTGGCTAGCTGCATCTTTAATGGATCTTGCCTGCCTCTTGGCTATAGCATATATTTTCCCATAGATGCACAACATAACAAATGCAGGGATGTAGAAGGAAATCATGGAGGACACCACACCTGAAGTTTCGCTAAAGAAGACAAAGCAGCCGCCAACACAGTGGATATGATTATAGAAAATCTCTTCTGCTCCTTTTAAGTTTAGCTCCAGAAAGATCATCCCAAAGGCAAAAATGGCAGGGACGGTCCAACTTATGACGATCATGACCACTATGATGCAAGTATTTATCTTAGATTTGTATCTCAGTGGGTCACACACAGCACAGTAGCGATCAATAGAAATGAAGGAAAGATGGAAAATGGAGGCTGTGCTGAGCATAATGTCTATGCTAGTATGGATTTTGCAGAAGAGTTCTCCAAAGTACCAGCAGTTCTCCACAGACCTCACCATGCTGTAAGGCATGATGAAGCACCCCAACAAAAAGTCAACAGTGGACATGGAAAGGATCAAGAAATTTGTAGGCGTATGGAGCTGCTTGAAGTGCGCTATTGAGACGATAACCGTCAGATTTCCAGCCAACGTGGCCAGGATGATGCACACCATTAAGATATACATGGACATACGGATATTGCTTGACCAGTTGCTTTTTATGCAGGAGCCATTTACAGATTCACAGCAAAACTGCATCTTTCCTGAGATCTCAAACCCACTTAAGTACGTTGTAGTCTCAGCCGACTGGATGTTGCACAGGCAACTTTTGCCCTAATGCTGAAATGCATTTAGAGTTATTTATTGCTTTCCTGGGTATTCATCCAGCTGAGGTAACTGCAGAGAGAAAAAAAGAAAATAATAAACATATTAATCTACCAGAACTTTTAGAAAATTAATTTTATTTAATTCATTAAGGTCTTGGAGGGGATAAAAGTGTAATTCTGTTTCAAAACCAGTTTAATCATTAGATTTTTTCTGAACTGAGACTCTCCTTGGGATGAATCATGGCCCGGCTAATGCAACAGCACACCTGTTGGCCCCCCCTTATCCACCAGCTACCCGTATCATGAATAGCAGAAGCTCCACAGAGCTGCCTCAGGAAATGTACATTTTAGCAGATATAGATCTCTCCCTGCAGCAGTAAGGAGACTGGAGATATCCTCCAGATTTTCTTTTTTTAAAACTGTTTTTGTTTTAAGTTGTATCTTTCTTTCAACAGTTCTTTTAAAGAAGAGTCAGTGTCGTAGAATACTCACATTCCTCCTGAATACTGTTTGGTTTAGATTCTGCAGCCCATTTGGCAGCAGCTTCTTGGAGACATAAATCAAAGATATAGACGTCAAAGTGGACAGGCCAGACACACAGATGGTAACATCTGGAGAGAACAGGAACTTTCCACTAAGTCAAGGAAGATTCTGATCTGGCAACATATACTCTCAGATCTGCATTGAGTAAATATCACTTACCTACAGTCACATCCTCCCTCTGTCCATCAGTCCTGTTCTCCCTCCCAGCCTACCTATCCCTGGATGCTTTGGTTGGTTGCTATGCTGACACTAGTTCCCAGGACTCTTCTCTTTCCTTCTGGCTATGATCAGTGTAGCCTATAGGGCTAGCCTGCTTGCTTGCCTATGTATCTTTTCTTATGGGTTTGATTATTTGTTTTATAATAATAGGTTTATAGATTTATATTAGAGTATTTTTGGCTGTAACGCAAGGGACCTACAGGCCACATTCTGTATGTTGAGCTTAGGCAAAGTTAGCATATATATGTTCAGGATCTTTCATCTAGATATGTGGTGATCAGCTAAAGCATAAGGTCCATATATGGTTGTGACCTTTAACATAGACATGTGAGGATGCGTTAAAGCAAGTTGGTACAGAGGGGTTATCTAAGTTTATATCCTCTTTAAACGAAACAGATACACCACAAAGAACATGCAAACAACAGGTTAGGAAAAAAATAACAGATGTAAATATGAACTAGTGGTCATTAATATGTATGTATATGTCACCTATGTCCCACAGTATTCGTGCCAGCAAGTTAAAGAAGTATGGGCTGGATGAATGGACTATAAGGTGCATAGAAAGCTGGCTAGATCGTCGGGCTCAACGAGTAGTCTTAAATGGCTCCATGTCTAGTTGGCAGCCGGTATCAAGTGGAGTGCCCCAAGGGTCGGTCACGGGGCCGGTTTTCTTCAATATCTTCATTAATGATCTGGAAGATGGCACAATTGCACTCTCAGCAAGTTTGCAGATAACCGAGCGGCTAGGCAGCAGTTTTGCAGAAAAGGATCTAGGGGTTATGGTGGATGAGAAGCTGGATATGAGTCAACAGTGTTGCCCTTGTTGACAAGAAGGCATTTTGGGCTGTATAAGTAGGAGCATTGCCAGCAGATCGAGGGACATGATTGTTCCCCTCTATTTGGCATTGGTGAGGCCCCATCTGAAGTACTGTGTCCAGTTTTGGGCCCCACACTACGAGAAGGATGTGGAAAAATTGGAAAGAGTCCTGCAGAGGGCAACAAAAATGATCAGGGGGGCTGGAGCACATGACTTATGAGGAGAGGCTGAGGAAACTGGGATTGTTTAGTCTGCAGAAGAGAAGAATGAGGGGGGATTTGATGGCTGCTTTCAACAACCTGAAAGGGGGTTCCAAAGAGGATGGATCTAAACTGTTCTCAGTGGTAGCAGATGACAGAACAAGGAGTAATGGTCTCAAGTTGCAGAGGGGAGGTTTAGGTTGGATATTAGGAAAATCTTTTTCACTAGGAGGGTGGTGAAGCACTGGAATGTGTTACCTAGGGAGGTGATTGAAATCTACTTCCTTAGAGGCTTTTAAGGTCAGGCTTGAGAAAGCTCTAGCTGGGATGATTTAGTTGGGGATTGGTCCTGCTTTGAGCAGGGGGTTGGACTAGATGACCTCCTGAGGTCCCTTCCAACCCTGATATTCTATGATTCTATCTATATGCACAAACATGCCAGCCTATAAAGTAAGTGTACCCTGATATATTGTGGGTGAAAAATTATGTTTGGACATAAAAGGAGGACTCAAGCATCAAGCTCTATAAGAAGGGTAACCCACCATGCCTAGGTAGTTTCTTTGTTCATAGTTCAGGGTTTATTATTCTTTTATTAGTCTATTAATTGGTAGTTTTAATTCTTAAGTTTTAAGTCAGTTAGTTAAGTAAAACTCTTACATCAGCTTTTCTAGACTTTCTATAGATTTTAGCTCTCTAGCTTCTCATAAGCTCTGCACCTCCCACTCAAGAATTTAGGAACCTGGACCTGAACTCTCTTGGCATGCCAGAGGCGAGGCTGCTCCTTTGTGTCTTACCACCAGGTTATCAAGGAAGGGTGTAAGTATATTAATCAAAAGCTTTATAGTATATAATACCATATGTATCTCTAGAACAATATTATTGCCCTATAACTCTGATTCTTTTTCCATTTAATTACTATTTAATTACTATTCCATTTATCTCAATGTGAGTGTCCTTGTCATATACCCCAAGGGTCCTTGCAAACTCTGTGGAGCCTAATAAGGACAAAAGCCTTATTATCTTCTGATCAAGTTAGTTGGTGAGCCTATAACCCATATTATCTAAAATAATAATATTAACCTTCTAAAATCAGGCAACCTCAGTGATACGAGCAGGGATGATAAATCATGGCTTATTTGATCTTGGAAGCAGTGTGGACAGCTTTGGAGTCTGTGGGTCTCTGCGCCAGCTCCCATTCTTCTGAGTCTTTGGCCTCTCTGGGACAAGCCACTCAACAACATTGCCTTGCTTGTGGATGCACAGCTAAACAACAGAGAATATCCATTTCTCATTAGGGCTCTTTGCCTGCTTCAGCGTCATTATAACTTAGGCGAGAGATCCTGGTATCATCTTCTATTTTTCTGAAATATTGCATTAGGCTGCAAAAGTATTATGAAAAGCCCCTTGTCTGTATGTTTTCTTTATAGATTGCTAACTCTTAAGGGCTATCTTTCTTAAAGTGTCGGAATATGCCACCCGCTCAGTGAATAAATAAGAGCGTCTGTCTGTGTTTGTGGGGGAGGATGTAGTGTGGAAATGCTAATGTGGCCTAGTGAATAGAACACTTCCCAGCACTCCCACTGACCTGCTGAGGAACCCTGGATAAATCACTTTTCTCTGCACCTCAGTTTTCCTAACTGTAAAATGCGGATGATCCTGACCTCCTTTGTAAAGTGCTTTGAGATCTATGGATGAAAAGCCATACATGAGAGCTAGGGACTGTTATTAATGTATTCAGTGAGATTCCATGTAGGAGTGGGGATGTACCTATATGAAGTAGTGTGCAAGCTCAGGGCCTACGTGAGGAAACAGAAGGTGTCTGTGGAAAGAATATAGTATGGGGAATGTAGGGCCTTATTCTGCTCTCAGTTACACCAACTGAGATTCTTTGGATTTGACATGATAACTGAGAGCAGAATCAGGACCAAAGTATGCACATTTGTGCATTTTTAAAATTATTTTTGAGTTGCAGGAGCACAGGATGTTTTTTAATCTGGTTGTCATCTCAGATTAATACCATGGTACAGTTTCAGTACAGCGGTGATCAGTAAGTGCGAAGACTTAATTTAAAGACTTTAGAAGAAAAGGAATGCCACTGTCTACATTACTGTCAGTGTTAATCCTAGATGTTAGAACTATGCTTTTTTGAGTCTATTCATAACAAAATAGACATCTCTTTAATATAAAACTATTAAACCTCCCCTTGCTTTGACAATGTCAGTTCTTAGCAATTTTATAAACTAAACTAAACAATTTCCTTTTTAATTTAGTTCTTTCCTTCTTATTTGGGCACAGGCACAGTGTCTATAAAAGTAGTGGAAATTGTTATGAATGAGTTTCTGTTGGGTTGCACTCAGTTAATATATAGCGAAACCAAACACTAAATCATACACAGACAGCATGTTACTAGGAAAAAGATTCCCAGCATGTTTCACTGATATTTCAGTAGAGAGATCACATTGTGTAAAACTGAAAGCTAACCTTGTTTTGTAAAGATTGTTTTTTTATAGTGAACATACTGCTCGTGCACTCACACAGGAGCCGCACATATAAGTTGTTAACGCTCAGAGCAAGTGCTATGAGATGTAGCTTGCCATATCCTTCACTTTAATTGGTAGCCCAGGGTCCATATGGAGTAAGTTTGGCCACCTGTGTAAAAGACTGATCAAATAATTTAACAAACAATTTTGTATAATACTCAAAAAACACAGTGACAGAACATTGCTATGGGGCAGTCACTAGTACTTTTTTAATTTTAAGACATAGCTATAATTGACAGTCATATTTTTCCTTGTATCCCAACAAACACAAATTCTAATTTTTCTCAAAGAAATCCCCATACATATTGTGTGTATATGTGTAAAGTTCCCTTTTATAATTGATCATTTTAATATTTGTTTAGTAACTTGCATTTCTTCTTTCCATTTCTCTTTTCTGATGGGTCTCTGACATTCAAAGTATGTTCTTTATCTCTCCAAAACCAATAAATGTTGGTTTCAGAGTAACAGTCGTGTTAGTCTGTATTCGCAAAAAGAAAAGGAGTACTTGTGGCACCTTAGAGACTAACCAATTTATTTGAGCATGAGCTTTCGTGAGCTACAGCTCACTTCATCGGATGAAGTGAGCTGTAGCTCACGAAAGCTCATGCTCAAATAAATTGGTTAGTCTCTAAGGTGCCACAAGTACTCCTTTTCTTTTTGCA